GTTACTACTCCAAAACTGCCATTTGTGTAGCCATGAGATGTGCAGTTTCTACTTAGGAGGCTTTGAATTATGAAGTCAAATCAGTTTGGTGGATGTTTATCTTGTGTTTCCAATAATAATAGAGTTTATTACTTCTGTTGTCATGGAATGTGAGTATTTTCAATCAATTGTTGTATGCTCTTGAGAGTTATTGGTGACCCAAAGAAGTTGTCTTGTTTATTTTATTTCAATCAATGAAAATTGATGTTCTATGTGGTTGTGATTCAATAAAAGCTTATAACCTAAATTTTATTGATGAACATACTTCAATTTCTTCCCCCCAAAAAAAAAAAAGCATGACAAAAGGTTTTAATCAGAAGCTAAAAAACCTTGAAATTTTACAGTCATTGTTTTCCCTACCATTCCAAGGGTTTACCACTGGCCTTGTATTTATTAGCTTTCATCTCCTAATGTTCTAAAGAGATTTCATTTTCTATCTCTCCATAAAGAGTATGATTTATTACATTTTCCTTTAGAATTGATCAGCTCCTACACCCTTTGAGACACTATGTTCTGAATAGAAAGGACAGTTTGCATGTTGAAGCCCAAGTTCTATAGACTTCTACAGATCATGAAGCACGAATCAACTGTAAGAAAAACATAATAAATATACAAAGTTTTCTTCTATCCCATTTTATAGATGTAGCAGCACTATTAGAGTAGATTATATGTTACTTTGACGAGAAACTATAGTGAAAAGAAGAGAAAAAAATTGAGATTTTGGCTTTCTTACCAAAATGGTAATTCTGAAGTGTGAAATTCTAAAAGGATTCATACAACATAAACATTTGGCTTACAAACCATTAGTTTTGCGAGGGTTCAACCGCTTTCTCTCACCAAAGCTCAGGCTTCACACCAAACCTGGAAGGCAGCATTGTGTAGACTGGTTTGATTTCTCATTTTTGGGTATGGATCCTCTATATGGAGTTATTTCACCACTAGGTGTGGAGTTTGGTATTGATGCAGCTAAGCTTTTCATGGTAGATCTTTCAGGTTGGGCAAGGTTTGCAAGTTTGTCTTCTGGCTGACCTAAATTTTGATCAACATTCATAGAGGCAGTACTGTTGAAGCCCTCACAAAAGAGCTCAATTAGTTGTTTTTTCATATCATTTGGTGAAGGTTCATCATCCACACCACGAACTTTGTCATGTACAGAATTTTCTATGAACCTTTCAGGACGCATGGGAGTGTTATCTTGAGAAGGGGTAGGATCTATGTGAAAAATCTAGTCAAATACCACAAACAAATTTTTATATTTAAAGATAAATCTCACTGAATAAAAATATAGATCTTTCACATGCGTTGGAAAGAAAAAAGTATGCATTTCCTAACAAAAAATTAAGGAAACCTAACCCCCATTGACCCTGAAGTAATCTTCACAATCAGAATCTCAGCAAGCATATGAATCAAAATAGAAATCGGCTTTACCTGGATAAAACAACAGGAACATGTCAACATAAAAAATGCAATAGAGGGGTAAATTCAGTAACAAAGAAAGGGAAAAAAATATATGACCATGCAGGAGGAAAGCCAATCAAATTTAATTTCCACACTATTCTTTAATAATCATTGAGATTGGCTACACTCTACAGCCAGGTTGCCTAAGCTTCTGACATTGCAATAGGAACAATTGTTCTAATACCACAGAACAAATGATTCTTGACTTAGGCTTCCTTCTAATACTGGCGAGTTTAGAGCTGCAAACGATGAGCAGAGCTAAGGAACAAGCAACAGAGCAGATTCACACAATCTAACTTGGTTTTGGTTCTCCATAGAAAGCAACTCTCCCACTACAGGGGGTTTCAAGAAATTAACTTGTCTTTTCTGTAACATACTCAAGATGTTAGGGATCATTTCTCCTCTTTTAAGTAAGAAGGTTTAAGTCTAGTTTTGGCTTTCTCTACCTGTTGGGAATTAGGTTCAGAATTTTAACCAAAGAGGACATCATTTAAGCATTCTTATTAGATTTTTAACATTTTTATAAGACAAAGCTTTGTCAAAAAGATCAAGCAACAGCCTCATTTCATCACAGTGCTAATGGTTCCCTAAGATTTGCAGACACAGGAAAAATATGAACGTCAGGTTCAAAGTATTAGCTTTCATCAGAGTGTTATGCAGGTTGAGATTAGTGTATGAATGTTGTATATTTATGTGCTTCCCTAAACTTCTTAGTCACCATATGGTTCATCCATTTTTAGGGCTATGAGTATGAGGTTTTAGCAAATTGCAAATGATTCTATAACTTTGAAGTAGTGCAATTTAGATGAATACATGAATATATATGACCAAGAAATAGAAAGAACTTCAAAAGTTCATTGAGATGTAGCTACTAAAACACAACACCATAAAGATTTAGTTAAAACTCCTAATGGAGACATTTGCACAAACACATAACAAGCACATGTAATCAACAGTAGACCAAACCAACAAACACCTTCAATCAAAGTAACAAACCCACTCATAATACAATTACCAAAACAAAGGAACTAAGAATTATGAAAGCCAAGTCAAAAACATACCCAACTCTCGAAAACTATCTTCTCCCCTCTAATTCTCCAAACCCAGTTCAGCAACCGGCTTCTCTATCTCGAGCATCATTTCTAGATTGGGTGATTCAATCTAGACTCCAAGTGTCATACTTGGGTCTGTGTTGTTGGGCAAGGTTTGCAGGTTTGTCTTCTGGCTGACCTAAATTTTGATCAACATTCACAGAGGCAATACTGTTGAAGCTTTCACAAAAGAGCTCAATTAGTTGTTTTTTCATATCATTTGGTGAAGGTTCATCATCCACTCCAGGAGCTTTGTCTGGTACAGAATTTTCTATGGACCTTTTAGGACGCATGAGAGTGTTATCTTGAGAAGGGGTAGGATCTGCATGAAAAATCTAGTCAAATACCACATACAAAATTTTATATTTAAAGATAAATCTCATTGAATAAAAATATAGATCTTTCACATGCCTTGGGAAGAAAAAAGTATGCATTTCCTAACAAAAAATTAAGGAAACCTCACCCCCATTGACACTGAAGAAATCTTCACAATCAGAATCTAAGCAGAGCTGTGAATCAAAAAAGAAATCGGCTTTACCTGGATAAAACAACAGGAACATGTCAACATTAGAAATGCAATAGAGAGATAAATTCAGTCACAAATAAAGGAAAAAAAATATATGACCATGCAGGAGGCAAGCCAATCAAATTTAATTTCCACACTATTCTTAAATAATCATTGAGATTGGCTACACTCTACAGCCAAGTTGCCCAATCTTCTAACATTGCAATAGGAGCAATTGTTCTAATACCACAGAACAAATGATTCTTGATTTAGGCTTCCTTCCAATACTGGCGAGTTTAGAGCTGCAAACGATGAGCAGAGCTAAGGAACAAGCAACAGAGTATATTAACACTATCTGACTTGGTTTTGGTTCTCCATAGAAAGCAACTCTTCCACTAGAGGGGGTTTCAAGAAATGAACTTGTCTTTTCCGTAACATACTTAAGATTTTAGAGATCATTTCTCCTCTTTTAAGCAAGAAGGTTGAACTCTAGTTTTGGCTTTCTCTACCTGTTGGGAATTGGGTTCAGAATTTTAACCAAAGAGGAATCATTTAAGCATTCTTATTAGATTTTTAACATTTTTATAAGACGACACATTGTCGAAAAGATCAAGGCGCAGCCTCATTTCATCACAGTGCTAATGGTTCCCTAGGATTTGCAGACACAAGAAAAATATGAAGGTCAGGATCAAAGTATTAGTCTTATTTCATCAAAGTGTTATGCGGGCTGAGATTAGCAATTG